CTCAGCACAACAAGTAACACCTTTCATTCCAGGAATGAATATAGGAGGAGGAGATCAAGTACTAGAAACATTGATCAAACAATTGGCTGGGTTAATGCAAGGGAATAAAAATTCCCAACAAGACCAAAGACCAAGAATACAAAATAATGGAAGTCATCCACCGATCAAATGTTTCCATTGTAATCAACCTGGACATGTTAAATGGAACTGCCCACAACTACAGAATAATAATAACAACACACAACAATATTATACCACATAGTGCTGTGTGTGAAAGAGTTTTCTCAACTCTTGGATGGATATACAATAAAAAATGTCTTTGTCTCAATGTATCAAAAGTAGGAGGCATGGCTAAAGTGAGATTAGAGGTTCCCAATCATGGTGTATTTGTTGTGATAGAAAAAGATTTGATTTAGAAAAAGTTTTTTATATTTTTGGTTTTTATTTTTAAATCATTTTAATCATTTTTTTATACATCAAATTTATGTTACATGGTAATGTTTTAGCAATTAAACTCATTAATTTTTATAATTGAATTTTTTATTATTTTTATATTTTGGTACTTTAACTAAGTTTTATATAGTTGAAATTTATTTGTCTGAAATAGTTTCAGATTTGGCCAATGCTTAAATATTTCAAATTCAGCTAACAACTTACATAAAATAGTAATGAATAATTTTATTATTAAAATTTAACAAAAATATATAAATCCATAATCAATCTTATAAAAAAATATATAAAATACATTATAATCAAAAATTTAACATATAACCCATAATTAATCTACATAATTTTGCACCACATCATCCAAATCATAATCATTTGTACAATCTTCATTTGATTTGCCAACTTCATTATTCATATTGTTCTCCAAACTTGAACCATCATTATCATCAATATCATCTGGATCCAAAACAAATGGAACTTCATTCAATTCAAAAAAGTTTTCAATAACCACAAATACTTGATGATTTGGAACTTGGTTCTTCATTTATTTGATTATCCTCCACCTCCTCTTCTTCCATTTCTTCTAAATCTTCCTCCTCCTCTTGATCATCTAATGTTTCTTCAACTAAAGATTTTAATTCCAAAGCACTGATGTTTTCACCTGGATATTTTAATTCTTTATTGATTGTTGAAAGATAATATGATCTTATCTTTGCCATACTTTCTATTTTTGAGACAGACAAATGTAAATGCCTTTTGCCATATATCCAGCTGAGGGTAGAAAAAGTTCTTTCACATGCAGCGCTGTTTGGAGTGATATCATGAATTAAAATTGCCAATTTTTGTAAACAATCATGTGTAGTATTTACAGAATTCCACCAGATTTTAGGTGTATCACTTGAAAAAACATACATCCCATTATATGGAGGTTTGTATAATTTATAAAGTCGCATTTGTGATAATAAAATTTCTAATGATGCTTTGTTGTTACCAAACTTCTGCCAAATCTCACTTGCTGCTTTAACCACAATTTGGTATTTTCCCTTTTTGATGCCTGCATCTATTATTACAAATAAAAAAATTAAAGAATTAAAAATTAAACTAATCAATCTCTTAATGATATATATATATATAACATATCCACCGATTTCTGCAACATTTTAGGGCACATTTATAAAAATTTCTAAGGGGTTACTAGAATTAGAAGCTAATTTCGCCCCCTTTTTTTTGTTGCTAAATCTACATATTAATATTAACAATACATAAACATGTCACCATTCCGTAATCTGTAATGCCATCTATATTTTATATAAATAATAGATTTAAGGTGTGATTGATTCAAAAAAATATTTAAATCTTAGAAATATTATTACAAGTTAAAAAACTACATATTAATATATATAAATCTAGGGGTTACAAAAATCCAATTCACTGTCGAATCTCAACAAACATAATAATAACAAAAATATATAAAAATTACTTTTTTTAGATAAAGAATGGTGTAACATATCAAAAATGTACCTTAAAACAAAAAAAAAACAACGAAATGTGCCCCAAAAATCAGCCTGAAATCGTGTAACATTGCAGAAATCGGTGGATATGAAGAAAATTAACCTCTATAAGCAGGGTGCAAGAAATATGCAAGTATATATGGACCAATCTCAAACTCATCCCACCTTTTATTAAAAGCATTGATGGCATGTTGTTGGAGTCCAGTCATATCATTATTGTTCATATTTTTTAATTTGTAAGATAGGTGAATTATTTGGACAAAAACATCTGCAAGTGTTGTGTTATCTCCTTCAGTTAATTTTATTGCATTTTTAATAGGTAGTAGTATTTGTGATAATGTCATAACTTCATCAAAAAACCACGTCTTCTTAAAATTTTTTTAACAGATTTACTAGTAATCTCATCACTATGATTTCTAACAATCTAATATTATTATTAAATATTAATGTAAATAACAAATTATTTATAATTTGATACATAATAATTTAATTAAATAAAAAAAAACCTCATTGAGTGCAAAATGCATTCTTAAAATTGAATTTGTTGATTCATATATTGAAGTCCATCTAGTTTTAACAAATGGTTGGAGTCCTCCACCCCTAATTGAAAAAGTTTCTGCTGCATTTGATAAAAGACTATTACAAATGTGGGATTTTTTGTAATATTTAATAATTTTTAAACATTCTGATAATAAATTAGATGCCCTTTCATATTCTAATATTTGTAAAAATATAAACATTAAAAAAAAATAAAAGATTTTTTACTAATAAAAATTTAAAAATACCTACCTATTATAGATTTTGTAATGAGATTAACAAAATGAGCAATACATCAAATATTGATGATTTTTGGATATTCTTTTGATATTAATTCTTGAGCTAGTTTTATATTTGCAGCTTTATCAGTTACAACAGCACCAAATTTTTGTACTCCAATTTTAGTTAAAACAGTTTTTATTTCAGCAGCTAAAAATTGACCAGTATGATGTGTTTCAGAATAATCCCAAAGACAATATAAATATTGTTTATGATCAGGAGTTAAAACTAAAAAATTATAAATAGAAAGAGAATTAGGTGAAGTCTACCCATCTAGAGCTAATATATATGTTATATATTAATTAGTAATAAAATAACATTAATTAAACAATATTTGTAAAAAATAAATATTTACCAAGTGTTAAATTTTCTGCATTACTTAGTTCCTGATCAATTTTTAGGTTAACTTTTGAAATTTCCTTACTTAATAATTGTCCAGCTAATGTTTGTCGTGATGGAGGACCATAATTTGCTTGTAGTTGATAAAGCAGTTCTCGAAAAAAAGGATTATCAATTACACTGAATGGAATCCCACAACAAACAAATGCTCTCACAAGAGCAATGTTAATGGCTTCAATTTTTCCTTCTGACAATTCTTTATTTTCATAAAAGTCATCTATTGTTTCTTGATCAAATTTTATTTTTTTATTTGAATTATTTGATTGAAATGACATTCTAGAATTTCTGGAACTTGTTGATGTAATATCTTCAGCCAAATTTTCTGTTCATAAAACTTCAAGATAAAATCTTTGAATCATATCAGGACATGCTGGACAATTATTGGCTAAATGAGCTTGTAATGATTGTACATAGGCTCTGCCCCAGCATTGTTGCACTCTGCAGAGTGATGCCCATGTGAATTAAGTGGGGTTTTAATAAAATATTCCCACACTTCATTTTGCCTTCGTCCTGCTGTTTTTTTTGTTGACATATATATTCAAATAATAATTTTCCTCTTATAAATATTGATATTAATGTTATAAATTATTATTCTTATTAATGTTCTTATTAATGTTCTTAGTATGTTCTTATTAATGTTCTTAGTATGTTCTTATTAATGTTCTTATTATGGTTCTTAGTATGTTCTTATTAATGTTCTTATTATTGTTCTTAGTATGTTCTTATTAATGTTTTTATTAATGTTCTTGTTAAAATTTGAACTAAAAATAAAAATTAATAGCTAAAAAAAAATATTTAGTTCTTTACTCTTAGTGAAAAGGGTAAAATTGATAGTATAAATAATAATAAACAGCCTAAAGGCCTAAAATAATGATATTAATTTCAATAATTTCAAAAAAAAAAAAATATATTATTATTATTATTAATTTCAAAATAAAAATTTTAATTTTCTGTATTATTTATAAACTATCTTATATTCTTATATTATTGTTCTTATTTCATTAAAGTTTGTTATATTAATGAGAAGAAGATGAACAAACATATATATTATAAAATCTTTTGCAAAAAAAAAAAAAAAAAAATACCATGAATTCTTGGTAAAAGACCATTGTTTATTAGATGATTTCTAATATTTTCAAAGTAAGTTCTACCAATCCTAGCATATTGAGATAAGTTTCTTGACAAAGAAGTGTATTGTGATCTCAGTGATAGAAAGTTCTTTTATTAGATCTAGTTTTCTTTTTAAGGCGTCTACTAGTACTTGTTGATCCACCATCCATTGCTTTAAGTTGAGCCATTAAAAATATGTCTTGTTCAGACTTAGAAAGAGCTTGAAAGGATTCCCTTAATTCTGCAAATCCCTCCTTAGGAATTATTGAAGAACAACCACAATCACAACCTTTTTCTAAAAAATCAATTGCATTTTGATATTCATTAGAACCATTATATTTATTATTACTTTTCATATACACTTATCCCTATATATATATTTTATGTTCACTTTGTAGGTTTTTACATTTATTACAAAAAGTTTTTCATTCATTTTCACTTAAATTGTTCTCACTTTTCATATATCTATCTTAATCATTATGCTTTCTTCTAGTTATATAAATAGCAATGTATAACATATATCTTTATTAAATTGTATGATTATCAACATTGATATAAAAAGCAGCTTATATTATACAATAAACAATTAATTAATACGCATAAGTATAAAGCAAGAAAATATAATTATGATTCCCTTCAAATAAAATATTAAAAGCCAAATCAAACAGTTTAAAATTTTGTCATCCAATTAAATAAAGAAAATAAATAGATTATGTATTAATCCTAGACAAAAAAAAGCATAAATTAGAATTTAGCACATAATAATAATTAATAAATTCATAGGTCAAAAAGTGGCAACATACACTTTTCCTATTTTTATTTTTTTTTAAAGCTGCTCGCCCTTTTATGGGTACACGGGAAAGTAAGTCTTCTATATCATCAAATGGTCTCTCTTTTCTTTTCTTACAGATCATTTTTGCAATTTCTGCTCCTATGCCCCGGATTGTTCTAATTTCAAATTCTTGGGCACTATTAATATCTATTTGGTCATTAGCTGTTCAAATAAATATATTGATAAAATTGTTAATTACTTCAACTAATGTTTCTAAAAAACTTGTAATAATAAACAATACCTGCAGCAAATTCAGCTCGACTAGCAAATGTGTATCCATAAAAATCTCTGAAATTATTACAGTTCACCACAAAATAGTTATTATGCTCTACTGGTTGTGATAAAAGATTTGATGTGCTTCTACCATTTGTAGATAAAAGTAAGGCTGAGTTTGTAATGGAAGAATTTTTTCCAATTAAATTGTTCATTTTTTTTATCCCTTCTAAATATTTATCATACTCTTTATCCAACATCTTTCTATTTACAGTTTGAGGTTGTTTTGCTGTAGGATCTGAAGATTTGGCTTGAGTAATAATAATCCAAGATTTCAAGAAGAAGAATACATCCCATTCTGCTCCATCACCATTCCAATATACAGTTCCAAAATTTTTATGCAGATCTGTATCTTTAGGACCAGGATATCGGTAATCCAGTGACTGTATGTTCACTGTAGATTGATCAACAAGGTCAATGACAGTTTCTGAAATATCACCAACATTATTTGCACCTCCAAACAAATCTTTTAATGTAATTTTTTTGTTCAGTACTGAAAAAAGACAGAGACGCAGAGCCCAAAACTGTGCATTAAATTCCTCAAAAGTTTCCCAGAAGACATGTGAATTCTGTTGTATCATGACTTTCCAGAATCTGCATGTACTATTGAGTGATGTCAATATCCATACCCACAAATATGGCATGCATATATAAAATTTGTTTCCAGTAGTTTTCTCCAAATTCAAAATACCCAATGATGCAAGATCAAGATAAGTTATTTGGGATTTTCCAATGTTAATTACATCAGTGCTTTCTACTGGAATATTAAGAATAGCATGTGCCATCATTGGGGTTGCATCTACTGCAAAATCCTGAAATGGGTATCGTGATAAGAGTTCTGATTTAACTTCATGAAATACCTCTACATAATCTACATAGGATGGTTGCTTTAATTTATTCAATAATTTTTCATAGAAAATTTCAAGAGCTCGAACCTGACCACCAATGTCACTAATGCAACGTGAAAAGGTGTTATTTGATATGTATTTTGTCATAAGTGGTTCAAATTCTGCAATCTTCACACCAATTTCAAACATTTCATCATTGTTAAGAAGACGGAGTGGTAAATGTAAAAAAAGATATGTTGACTCTCTAACAAAAGTTTCAAGAGGTCCTTGTATTGTTCCAGACAAGATAGGTACATAAAATCTTTCCATGCTGCTACAACTTAATCCACCAACAGCCCTTACAATTGAACGAACTAAAATCTTCTCAGGACTTTGATCTGCTTGATGTAATGCATTCAATTCATCAATACCAAAAACTACAACTTTGACATCAGTGTCCATATCCTTGAAAATTACCTGAAATTAAAGACTAGTGCCGTAAATTATGATGATGGTAGTAATTGTATTTACGGCATATAAAAAGTGGTCACAATTACCTTTGCAACCACTTTTGCAACCATACTTTTTCCTTTTTTGGATTACGGCACTAGTCTTTGATATAATTACAACTAAATTAAAATTCATAAGCATTATCCTTACATGCTCTAATACAAAGGAGCTAACAGTATCATTGTGAGTATTTTCTTGCTTTTTTTTATGCCTCATTACTGTCTCACGCCTAATGCTTATACCTGCTCCTGCAAATGTTTCAATGGCTGAGGATGATGCACCTGCACCATCTAACATATATCCAATTTCAGCTTTAATTCCATTGATGAATTTATTATTCAAACCTGCTAGAAAATAACAAAATAAAACTAATCTTTTTTTATTTTTTTCATTAGTCATATTATTTTTATCTTTTGGATTTGTTCCAGCATAAAGTTGATTAAAAAAACCTTTTAATGCTGGTTCAGCTTCTTCTAACATTTTATTAAATTCATCAGGTTCTAAAATGGGTTTTTCGTTATTCACCCTCTGTCTTATATACAATACACCTGCCATTAATTTGATTTTTTTATTAAGAGGTGCTGTTTCTAAAATAAAGCAAATAAGCTAGTTAAATATAATTATTGACAATAAAAGTAATTCATCATTTCATTTAAATTTTGTTCAATAATAATAAACAATATTATTTTTTAATATATTGGTGTGTAAAGATTAGAAGGATAATTAATTACTTACCCAGTTTTGCTTTGTCAAGTTCTGCACACACTTCATGATATGCAGACTCTAATTGTTGAAATTCTTCCTCAGAATAAAAAATATCATCACGTAAAACATATCTTCTATTTTGAAATTTCTGAATATTTTTATTTGATGTTTTTTGAGCTGGTGGTTGATAATTAGGTGAATTTAAATATTCTGGATCATTATCAGTCTTATACAAACAGTGATGACACATCATTGCTGTCTCTAATAATTTAAAATAAATAATTAATCGTCCAGGTGCCTTCCAGAATGAATTACTTTCTTCTTTTTGAGCTGTAGAAAGATAAATATTATGCTTGGGATGTGAACAAGTGTTTAGTTATTTTGATTTTTTTTGCATTAACAATTAATTTATTATAATGCCTTCTACATAATGCTTTTCCAACCAAATTTAAATGTTTGTTAATATCTGGAATAGTAACTTTATCAGATACTATAGAAGCATTATTAATTTTATAATCACAGTCAACATCATCTTGGCTTTCTAAATTACAATATTGTACCTTTTCTCCTCTTACCTTTACATTCACTACTTGAGGATGTTTCTTGAGGTGAGTTTGTATGACATCCATTTTCTGTAAGGAGAGTTGAAATACCTCTACATAATCTACATAGGATGGTTGCTTTAATTTATTCAATAATTTTTCATAGAAAATTTCAAGAGCTCGAACCTGACCACCAATGTCACTAATGCAACGTGAAAAGGTGTTATTTGATATGTATTTTGTCATAAGTGGTTCAAATTCTGCAATCTTCACACCAATTTCAAACATTTCATCATTGTTAAGAAGACGGAGTGGTAAATGTAAAAAAAGATATGTTGACTCTCTAACAAAAGTTTCAAGAGGTCCTTGTATTGTTCCAGACAAGATAGGTACATAAAATCTTTCCATGCTGCTACAACTTAATCCACCAACAGCCCTTACAATTGAACGAACTAAAATCTTCTCAGGACTTTGATCTGCTTGATGTAATGCATTCAATTCATCAATACCAAAAACTACAACTTTGACATCAGTGTCCATATCCTTGAAAATTACCTGAAATTAAAGACTAGTGCCGTAAATTATGATGATGGTAGTAATTGTATTTACGGCATATAAAAAGTGGTCACAATTACCTTTGCGACCACTTTTGCAACCATACTTTTTCCTTTTTTGGATTACGGCACTAGTCTTTGCCTGAAATGCCTGATAAATTGTAAGTTTGTTTAAATTTGTATATTGACAACATTGATCACAGAATTTGTGAAAATCAGTATCACTTCCATAGATAAAATGCTCATAAAGTATGCGTAACCCAACTGATGCTTGGCCTCCAATTTCAGTATCTCTAATATCAACATTACTACCATTACCGAATGTGACATTAATGGCAAACATTTTATTTTCACAAATTGCATTCTTCAGTTCATTATCATCTGAATATTGTTGAGCATGATTATGCAGCAATGCAGGAAGTTCTTGGAGTATCCGACTTTTACCAGTTCCAGGTCCACCAACTAAGACAGGAATAGGATGAAGCAAATGGTCTCTTATTTTTCTCTTAGGGCTATGGAAGAAGGGTGGGAAGCAGCATTAGACAAGAGAAGACAATTACCAGGAGAAACTGTTGATACCTTTGCAGCAAGCATCTATGAATTATTTAGGAGAATCGAACATGGTGGGAATGATTATCCAGATAGAATAAAAGCTAGGATGTTCATGGAAAGGCTACGGCCAGAACTATCAATAGCTGTCAGTCCTTTCTTACCTGATACTATGCAAGATGTGATTGACAGGGCTAAAGCCTATGAAATGACTTATTCAAGGGGAGGAAGTTTGTCTGCTTACTTGGCACAACAAGTGACACCTTTAATTCCAGGAATGAATATAGGAGGAGGAGGAGATCAAGTACTAGAAACATTGATCAAACAATTGGCTGGGTTAATGCAAGGGAATAAAAATTCCCAACAAGACCAAAGACCAAGAATACAAAATAATGGAAGTCATCCACCGATCAAATGTTTCCATTGTAATCAACCTGGACATGTTAAATGGAACTGCCCACAACTCCAGAATAATAATAACAACACACAACAATATTATACCACATAGTGCTGTGTGTGAAAGAGTTTTCTCAACTCTTGGATGGATATACAATAAAAAATGTCTTTGT